TTTATATATTTTTATTATTTATTTAAACATTCACTAAACATTTACAAAGTTAAGATTTTATTTATTTTTATAAAAGAAAATCACACACGAATAAGATATTTATTTTATTAACGAGGACGAGATTTGAAATTTAATATAATGGCGAAGACATGGTCGAAATTGTACTGACTGCCTCTGAGTGGTGCATTCAGTTTTTATATGGGATGAATGATAGAATAATATTCTATCATAAACCAAGCATCTGTGTAATTACCCAATAGGATCGATGCTTGTAAAGTGTGTCGTAAAACATATTTTATGTTAGGATCGATAATTAGGTGAACGTGACTTTATACCAATATTACTTGGATGCATCATCATAGAAGAATTTCTAATATAATTAGGTGCGTGTTTAATGATCGATCTTTGATGTTAAAGAGATGCATTGTTATAACTTGAATACGCATAATTAATAAACATCTATTAGTTTATTAAACAATGGTACCATTTACTATTTAGAAATGTGTGACGAATTGTCCAATTAGGAATTGTCACGAACAATATTGAAATCGTTCAATATTGTGAATCATAAAATTATATGAAATTGTCACGAACAGTAAAAATAATAAAATGTATATTTTATACTGGGTTAACTTTATTACCCATTATATTATATTTGTATTTATTATGTGTTTGAGTGGATGCATATGTAACTCTTCCCTCCTTAAGATTAGCGTCCTCGCTAATGACAATATTTTTAGTTTTATGTGTGGTCCAATATGTTACAATAATAAAAATAATAATTACAGTAAGTACAATTACAATAATTGATACATTAATATAATTTTGCTTAATAGTCTTTTCCTCTATATATTTTAGCTTATTTGATAAATTTAAAGTTTTATAGTGTAATTTATTGAAATTAATATATTCTTTTTCTGTAATATTCTTTTCTTGAATAGGTAAAATAAAATGTTCAGAATAAATTTTATTTTCGTTAGTAAATGTAATATTATTAATAATTATCTTACAATTTTGATATTTAATAATTATGTTTCTTTTAACTGATAAGGAAATATTATTACAATTATTATTAATTATTTGCTGTTTTAAATTTTTTCCAATAATTATATTATTATTTATACTTTTTATTTCTTCTTTTCTATTTTCTTCAAAACTACAATTTTCCATTAGTGAATTTCCTAATATATTTTTTAAACAAATGTCTTCAACTTCATACAATTTTTGATTTCTTTGTACATAAATATTCTTATTATCGGTAATTAAATTTTCTTTGTTTTGTAGTACAATTTGTTTAAATTCTTTATAGTTTGGTATAGGTTCTATATACATTTTATAAAAAGATTTATTGTAAAAGCTTGGTATTGATAAAACAAAATAAAGCATTTCATTACTCTTCCAGAGAGTGGTTTTAATATGTCTGTAAGTATCGATGGTAAAATCTTTATCTTCTTCTTCTGATAGCAGGTCTGGGTTTAATATTCCTAACCTACTTAACGTAATTGAATGTTTTAAATCTCTGATATGATTGTGTAGTAGGTCAAGGTTTTCTTCAAAATTCTGTATGAGTGTTTGATTAAAGTCTGGTGTTTCGAGAGTCTGTAATCTTAGTATTATTCTATCTTGTTGTGTAATATGGTCTATTATATGTCTAATTTCGCTGTCAATGGTTTTAACTATTTCTGTATCGTCGTTTCTAGTTTTAATAAGTTGTTTTGTATTCTTTTCTAGTTCTAATAGTTTGTGATTTATTCTTTCTTCATCGTCACTATCCATGTTTCCTGTAATAAACTTGAGTCCTTTTCCTATTAAATTAATGAGTCCTCTTTTTGGTCTGAGTTTTATTACTAAGAGTTCTCTTTCTAATTTAAAAAGTTTTATAGTTAATTTAGGTATTTGTAATACCATATTTTCATGGTATAAATTGGCTAATATTTCATATCCTTCGTTGTACTGTGTTGTATTTATTGCGTGTATTCTTTCATCATATTTCTCTATTATAGTTTCTTCTGATCCTCTGATTAAAGTAAATCCATTTCCTTCATTTATGTTTGTTATATCCAAATATTGTGTTGTTGCGAAAGGTATAATATTTATTATGGTGAAGACTAAAAATAATTTAAATTAATTATGTGTATTTCTTTTTCCTCACAAAATTAGTTTTATATCTTTTTATAATTTTATTATTTTTATCTTTCGTGGTTATATAATTATCTTTGTTTTCTAATACAATGCCTTTAAACAATTTATGTGGATTAGAGCTTTTTATTTTATTATTTACTTTTAAGTATTTGGGATTGATATCTTTATTTAGACGTGAGTTATTACGTTTCTTGATTATTTTAATTTTATTTCCTTGAACATTTGTTTTAATTAATTTTCCTTCAAAAAATACTTGATATGGAATCTCTTTGGTTGTGGAGTGTATTGTTTTATGATTGTAGTAGTACAAAGTGCTTTCAACTTGGTGATATAATTCTTCTATATCATTCTTAGTTCTAATTATTCGCAAGTTTTCATTTAGTGTGCCGTGTAATCGTTCCAAATCTGCTATACCTGTCTTTGAATGAGTTTCTATAAATTGTATTCCTTCACTTATGATCCAATTTTTAAATGAAAATGATTCGAAACAACTATCTCTATCTGGTTTAATTCGTTTTGGTTTTCCCATATTATTAAATATACTTATCATGGCTTTTTTAGCTTCTAGCCAGTCCGAGCCATTCGTTTCACAAATTTGTACATACTTTGAATATACATCAATGCAAGTTAAATATCGTTTATTATCAAAACACCAAATGTCAATCATATATAAATCTCTTATAGTTTTAATTTCAGGAGTGACATTATATTCATGTTTAATGGGATTTCTATCATGTTTAGCAATAGAACAAATGTTACAATTATTTATTATTTTATTTATTTCTGTTTTTAAATTAGGATAATAATATTCTCTTTTTAATTGTGAATATGTTTGATCAATACCCTTATGGTTTGTTTCATAATGGTTTTTTAGTATTAATTCTTTAATTTCGTTATAAGTTTCAATATCTTTCAGTAATATATTGGCTTTGTAAATTTTAGCTCTTAATATTGGATTAATTAATTTAATATAGGTTGTTTGAAATAAGTGATAATCTCTTATGTCTTCAAATAGTACTGCTCCTTTTTGCTTATTAAAATATTTCTTTATTATTTCCTTAAAATAATCTTCTGTGAAAGTCTCTGATCTAAACTCATATCTTCCTTTATTTTTATATAGTTTTATAAATTTGACACCTACATTAGGGGTTTTCTTAAATATATATTGTCTTTTAAATATATTAATAGGTAATTCAGTTATACCAAATAATTCACTATTATCTTCTTCTGCACTATGCATTGTTGCCTGATTTGATTCATTATCTTCTTCTTGAGCATAAACTTGATCTAATTTGATTCGAGATAAAGCATCAGCAACATAGTTTTCTTTCCCTTGAATATATTCAATTTTATAATCATATTCGGAGAGTTTTATTTTCCATCTTATTAGTTTGCAATTTGGTTCTTTTAAATTGTTTAACCATTGAAGTGGTCTGTGATCAGTTTTGATGATAAATTTTTGACCATATAAATAGGGTCTGAAATATTTAGTAGCCCAGACGATCGCAAGTAATTCCTTTTCTATAGTGGAATAATTAATCTCATGAGCGTTTAATGTTCTAGATGCAAAACAAACTGGTTTATTGTCTTGACTTAAGACAGCGCCTAAAGCAAAGTCTGATGCATCTGTTGTTAGGGTAAATTTCTTTTCAAAATCTGGATAAATTAAGATAGGATCTTTACTAATTAATATTTTAAGTTTTTCAAAGGAGTTTTTAAAATCTTCTGGTTTTATTTTACTTCCTTTTTTTAACTGTGATGTAAAAGGTTTGGATATTTTAGCAAAGTCTTTGATAAATTTTCTATAATATCCTGCTAAACCAAGAAACTGTTTTATTTCTTTCTGAGTCTTAGGTATCGGAAAGTTAACAATCGCTTGAATTTTTTTTGGATTTGGCCTTATACCTTCACTTGTAATTATGTGACCTAGGTATTCAGTTTCTCTTTTTAAGAATTCACATTTATTAAGTTGAATTTTTAGATTTGTTTCTTGCAATTTTTTAAAAATTTTAGAAAGTGAGTCTATATGTTCTTGTAGTGACGTGCTGAACACGATTATATCATCTAAATATACAAAGCATATTTTGCCAATATAGTCACTAAGAACTGAGTTCATAAGTCTTTGAAAAGTTGCCGGAGCATTCTTTAGTCCAAATGGCATTCTTAAAAACTCGAAATGGCCTTGAAGTGTTGAGAAAGCAGTTTTAGATATACTTTCTTCTTCTACTTCAATTTGATGAAATCCTTTTACTAAGTCTAAGGTGGAAAAGTACATTGATTTTCCTAACTTATCCAATATGTCATCTATATTGGGTATGGGGTATCTATCATCAATTGTTGTTTCATTTAGTTTTCGGTAGTCTATTACTATCCTCCAACCTTGTTTGTTTGAACTATCTAATTTTTTGGGTACAATCCAAATGGGTGAATTGTAGGGTGAAGAGCTGGGTCTTATTATTTTTTGATTGAGCATGTCATTTATTTGGGATTCAATTTCTTCATTGTGAGCTTTTGGATATCTATAAGACCTAGAATAAATAGGGTCTTCGTGTTTTGTCTTAATTTTATGTTTTATTTGATTTGTAAACGTAAGACTGTCTCCTTCTTCATATTGAATGTTTTTATATTTATTTAATAAATTTGAAATACTGTTATATTCTTCATTATTTAAGTGATCTAAGCGAAATTTCATTTTGTCTTCAGATAAATTGATATTATTCGTTTTAAGATTGTTTATATAATTAATTTCTTCTTCAGTTATTTCATTTTCTTTTTTTATTATTCTCCAACTTTTATTATTTAATTTTATAACGTTATTTTCAAAATCAATGATTGCATTTGCATATTTTAATATATCTGATCCTATTAAACCGTCGCAATCCTTTGAAAAGGAAACTAGGAAAAATGATAAATTTTGTCCTATGTCCCTTAATTCATTAGTAATTACTATCTGATCCATATTTATTTTTCCGTTAATGGTTCTAATTTTTTTAGGTTTTACTGTTATTGGTTTCGTTTTAAATGTATTTGGGTTTACCAAGCTTACTGATGAACCGGTATCTATTAAAAATTTAAAATTATTTATTCTGATATATGGTATTTCTGATCCGAGGCTTCTTCCTGAAAATTTACTTCCATTGGCTCGGGTATTCCATATTTCCTAATTCTACTTTGTTCACTGTCTTCTTGTCGAGGTCTTTTATTGAAATAATGAGTAGGATGATGTTGTTGAAGGTTTCCAAAGTTATTATTTTGATTATAGTATTTATTATTATATTGTTGTGGATATTTAAAATTGTTATTCTGATTATAGAGTTTGTTATTGTTTGATTGAGGAATATACAATTGATTTTTATTATATTGATTAAAGTTTCTATTGTGAAATTGTGGGTAAGGATATCTCTGTACATTGTTATTATTATGTTGTTGATTATTTCGATCAATTAATTGGGGTAATTTATTGTTATTTTGTCTATTAAATTGAGTGTTATATTTGTTTGACCTAAACTGGCTATAATAATTATGTGTTTGTCTGTCAGTTAGATTCATTTTTGGTTCGGAAGTTTCTGTTATTAAATACTGCTCTGAAAGTTTCTCAAATGCTTCAAGTAGAGTTTGACAATTATTTGCAATGATTGTGGCTTGATGTTGTGGAGGTAATTTATTTCTAAAATTAATTAATGCATTTCTTTCAGCTTCTACGAAATAAACCGTTTTTATGTTCTGTGGCCTATCTGATAATCTAATACAATCTTTTGTCCTACATAAGTGTTCTCTTATTTCTAAATAAAATAACTTTACATTGTTCTTAAAATTAATTCTTTCGAATTCTACTATTAGTTTATCGGGGGTGGACTTCTCACCATATTCGCTTATTAGTAATTGCCTAAGTGTTGACCAATCTGGAGGATTGTCTCTTCTAATTATATCGGCTGGTGCATCTTTAATTGTGCTCAATATGCGAAAAAATGATAGTTGCTGTTCTACGTCGGGAAGGGAGTTTAAAAAGGGTAGAATTTTTTCGATACCTGTTATATAAGTTGACAGCTGCTTTTTATTGCCAGTGAATGGATTAATGTTTTTCAAAAATCCGTTGATTACTTCTCTAATTACGGGTAATTCCATGTTGAATGTTGTTTTCCAGATGTGCAGTTATTATGAAGTATATTGTTAATTAACTTTTTAAGATTTTTTTAAGATCAAATATGTTCGTTTATTTATTTTTTATTTATTCAGTTTAAATAAAAGAATTTCACTTTTTTAGTTTTTAAAACAACAATATCCACTTATCGTTTCTTAAAGATTTATTTATTAGAGTTCCAGGATTAAATTTTTGATTTTAAAATTAATTCTTTCAAATAATTTTAGTTTCGTATATTCAATCTAATTGTAAATATATTTTCATTCTCGTAAAAGTTCAATAATTATTTCACTAGGATTCTGTAGATCCTACCGACTGCGCCAATTATATATTTATGTTATATAAATATATTTTTAAAATAAAACACGAATGACACTTTTTATATATTTTTATTATTTATTTAAACATTCACTAAACATTTACAAAGTTAAGATTTTATTTATTTTTATAAAAGAAAATCACACACGAATAAGATATTTATTTTATTAACGAGGACGAGATTTGAAATTTAATATAATGGCGAAGACATGGTCGAAATTGTACTGACTGCCTCTGAGTGGTGCATTCAGTTTTTATATGGGATGAATGATAGAATAATATTCTATCATAAACCAAGCATCTGTGTAATTACCCAATAGGATCGATGCTTGTAAAGTGTGTCGTAAAACATATTTTATGTTAGGATCGATAATTAGGTGAACGTGACTTTATACCAATATTACTTGGATGCATCATCATAGAAGAATTTCTAATATAATTAGGTGCGTGTTTAATGATCGATCTTTGATGTTAAAGAGATGCATTGTTATAACTTGAATACGCATAATTAATAAACATCTATTAGTTTATTAAACAATGGTACCATTTACTATTTAGAAATGTGTGACGAATTGTCCAATTAGGAATTGTCACGAACAATATTGAAATCGTTCAATATTGTGAATCATAAAATTATATGAAATTGTCACGAACAGTAAAAATAATAAAATGTATATTTTATACTGGGTTAACTTTATTACCCATTATATTATATTTGTATTTATTATGTGTTTGAGTGGATGCATATGTAACTCATGGTCTGTGCAAAATAGCATTTCAGATCACTGTAAGTACTATGATCACTGTTAGATCTGTGTAGTATCATAGTACTACATTGTTAGTTCACAGTACTAACAGCAGTATTGGATATTAAATTTAATGTATCAACAAAGATTGATAGTAAATTTGTACACAACGAAGCAATTAATTGTTCATTAATTGTTATTAATTGTTTCTATTTAAATCATCTGTATTGTTGTTTTCACTTACATACATACTATCAGTAAATATATTCGAACTCCGCACAATTATATACAGTTTATAAATCTTAAAATTACGATTTTTAAATAAAAATTCAAGTTCCCCTTCCATAATTTTATGGCCAATATTCTCATCAAAATTCTAAATATTTTAATATAGAAAAATACATTTAAATATTTATAGACAAATGTACAAACACAAACGCTTGTTTATAAATTTATTTATTTTTGTAGTGATGACTTGCATATTGAGATTTTCATAATAGTTTTTTGTTTGCGTTTTTGTTGTTAATTAGCTTAGAATATAATTATCATAGAAAACTATATTAGCAAAATACCATATCAACAAGAAATATCTATGATGAAATCATATTTGCTTTGGCTGATAATTCAGTAGTTATTAATAATTAATATGTGTTTTATTAACTGTTATTACGCAATGTTATTTGAAGTTCTATTAAACCATTTGATAAACATTATATATTGACATACATTATATTAGTTTGACTATTTAGATAATGTTCAATTTATTTAGCGTATATAAAATTAAATACATGTATATATATACAACATGTATGTATATAACATATGTAAACTTATAGTATTGTTTCTATAAGCAATAAATTAAAACTAATATACGTATAATTAAAGAATATTATACATATGTATATTGAATACTTTAAGAATAAAGAAGATTAACAGAAGATAGAATGTCTCTGAAATATATAAATAGAAATAGATTTATTTAAAAAAAATTGCATACAGACAAAAAACTGTCACTCAAACTATCAATGAAACAATGCAGTGTTTACTTATTATTTTTAAAAACATAATAATAAACTATAAGTTTAGGTAGGTATCACCTAACCAACCCACAGTTGCAAGAACATTATTTTAAAGTCTAACATCAAATTTAAAAGAGGAATCAAACAATCTTAAAGAATGAGAAATAAGATTTATATATATATCTAATTCATATTTATAATTATAGTTAATACAATACATGAAGAAAAAATGTATAAGCAATCTAAATCAGATTAGCGACTGAATCTTCTTTCTCAATTTAAACTATTATGACTTGCAATCACTTAACGTTTACTGTTTTCAAGGTTTTCATTGTTAGCCCTTCCTTTTATTAAAGTTATATGATCTTGCATATATATGAATTATCTAATGCATTACCCGCTTTTTTTCAATTTTTAAAATCTTTAGACCCATTTAATTTTAACTTTTTTTTACTTTTTACACCAATTACTTCTATACGGAATATAAAATAAATAATACAATATAGCTCACAACTACTAATCCTGTTTACAGTTCACTCCAAATACATTCAAATATATATATATATATATATTTTATATATTTTTTACAATTTTCTTATACAGATGATATAAATAACTTATTTGCCACGCAAAACCGCAGTATTGTGGAAAATATTTTAAGTTATCATGACATGGGGATACGCGTGACACAAGCAACACTAGAAGAACCTGGCGTTAAAGAACTTATAAGAAATAAACCAAAATTTGACGTTGTTATTAACGAAGTTTTTCTTTCTGAAGCACTTTTTGGACTTAGTGAATACTTCGATGCACCGTTAATTGGTTTGGGCACTTTTGGTGCTATTCTTTGGAACACTGACATGGTACGTTAAACTTGATGTGAAAATACTCCATAATTATTTATTTAAAACAATTTTTCTACTAGGTTGGTTCACCTTCTCCTCCCTCGTACGTGCCTAGCCCAATGTTACGCTTCAGTGATCGCATGAATCTGCTAGAACGCATCGGCAACCTGGCATATCACACATTTGATCGAATATTTAGCGATTACTTTTATTTGCCACGACAAGAAGCGCTTTATAAGAAATATTTTCCTCACAATAAACGTTCCATGTATGAAGTACGTAAAAATGCGGCCGCTGTGCTGCTAAATCAACATGTATCACTTAGTTTCCCGCGGCCATACATGCCAAATCAAATTGAAGTAGGCGGCATGCATATTAACCGCAAACGTAAACCACTCCCAGCTGAAATACAAAAATTCATTGAGGAAGCTGAACATGGCGTAGTGTATTTCTCAATGGGTTCCAATCTGAAAAGCAAACATTTGCCATTAGAGAAGCGTCAACAAATACTTCAAACGTTCCGTGGATTAAAACAACGTGTATTATGGAAGTTTGAAGATCCCTATTTGCCCGACAAACCTGATAATGTTTTCATTAGTGATTGGTTTCCTCAGGATGACATCTTGGCACATAAAAATGTGCGCGCTTTTATCACTCATGGTGGTTTGCTTAGCACAACGGAATCAATTTACCATGGCAAGCCATTCGTTGGAATACCAATTTTTGGAGATCAGTTTTTAAATATGGCACGTGCTGAAAAAAATGGCTATGGCATTATGTTGGATTATCAAAAACTTGATGCTGCGACCTTTAAGTCGGCTATAGAACGTATAGTTGATGAACCTTCTTATACAAAATTGGTACATGATATGTCGGCTAGATATAGGGATCAGCCTATGCTTCCTATAGATTTGGCTGTTTTCTGGGTGGAACATGTTGCACGACACAATGGCGCAAAATATTTGCATTGTGCTGGACTTGATTTAGGTTTCCTGCAATACCACAACATCGATGCAATGATAATACTTTATGGTGGCATTCTCCTAGTTTTTGTGTTAATCGTATCTTTAATAAGATTTTTATTAAATTCGATATGTAATATTTTTGTTAAGAAAAACACGAAAAGCAAAAAGGTTAAAAGAAATTAATTATTTAGCGTATTGTAATAATAAAAATAAATAAAGACTTATTAAAAAAATTTCGTTAAAAAAACAACTGTTATTTAATAATTAATATTTGTTAAGAGTAAAAGTTGCTACTAAAGTTCGTAGAAAATATTAGTGAAAAATATACAATTCAAAATGACGTGATAATTGTGGCCCTCCGCTAGACAGCCCGTCACTTAAAGTCATATATAATCCATCAATGAATTCTAATAACATTTTGAAATGCGTGTATATTTTTTTACAATTCTGTTAATATTGAAAAATATAATTAAAAAACTGTATACAAGCTCAACAGTGAAAATAAATTAAGAAAAAGTCTAAATGTAATTATATTCAAAATATTTTTTCTAATTATTTCAAACCAAATTCTCTTTGTAAGGTTATAAATCTAAAAATTCGAAACTTTTACATTCAATTTGTTTAAATTAATTTTTCAAATATTTTATTTTATGATCAATACATCAAAATCATATTTTGTTATGTATGATGTTGGCTTTAATTTAAAATATTCCATTCAAATTGTAAAATACAAATAAAATGAGTAACTCAATTTCCCTTAATTTTTATTTTTTTTTTTTTTTGTACTAAAAATTTCACATTCGAGTATCTTTGTTATTCGTTAGATAATGTTGTCTCCCATTTATATTGCCAAGTACATACATATACATACAATACATATTGGTGTCACTGCCATTATTGATAGATTTTAAAATAAATTTTATATTTTCCATCATATTTCCTATCAATTTGCATACAAATGCATTGACAGCAACAATGTCAGCAGCGGCAGCAACGGCAGCAGCAGCAGCAGAAATATTAGCAACATCGACAGCAACATCACTAACAGAAGTAACAAAAATTATTGAAGCGTGTGATTTGCATTGACATTGTATTTTGTGTAGTTTTACCTGATGACCTACCCACTACAAAGGACATCCTTCATTCTAAATAATATTGACATATTTCTTCTATTGCTTTATTTAAAAAATATGTATTGCTTAAAAGCGTACCTTTTTTATTAGATTTCATTTTTTCCTCTATAAAATGGAACTGCTTTAATCTAAATTTTTTGATAAAATGCCGAGCACGAGATTTTATGTATATTTGAAAACAAAAACAAGAATTAATTAATGTATACGTATGTTGGAAATACATTAGCTTTAAGACCCAACAGTTATTAACATGATATTAATTAAATATATGAACCCATTTTAATTGAAAGTTTCCTTTATAGCAGAAAGTTTCCCTTCAAAGCCGGTGAGGGCTTTTTTGTAGAACGTTATAAGTATTATATTAAATATCAGTTTAACACTTCTATATTAAAGAAAATGCATTTTTTAATAAAAAATATTATTTCATCTTAAATATTATTTCTGTACCAAAATTGGTTCAAAAAGGTACCATTTCTATAGAAAGGGGTTCAATTTTTTCTATTGTCATTTAATAAGAAAATACAATTTATATAAAATCTACAGAAGATATAGAGCTGTATCGAACTATCATTTACTGCCCATACGTAGTGCATATTTTTTTTGCATAACATAATATTATTTAAGGTCTTCAAATCCATTCCGATCAAAATTTTCTGTTACGTTTATCAGCCTCAATATTTTTACTTAATCAGTATATAATATTATATTAATTTCATAGTGCAATAGTTACATCTGTTAATACATTTAATTGTATTATATATAGCATGTACAATAAAATTCGCACTTCAAAAAAGTATCATTTTCTTAAATCAAGTGTGGTAAAGTACCACACGGAAAAAAAGTACCAATTTGGATTCTGAAGTACCACATGTGACAACCGTGATTTTATCTTTACTATCATTACTTTTTTATTTGTTTGTAATTTTTTTTGTTTTCGTTAAAGAAACTAATTTTAAATATTTTATCAATTACAATATTATGTTTTCATTGACTTTTGACTTTTAAAATTATAAACTACTACATTTTCTATTAGGTCTTGAAATTGTTTTATACTATTTCAACTTATTGTGCTTATGCCAATATATTACATATATCCCTCAACCAAAATTGCTGAAATTGCAGAGAAAAAGGCAAAAAACAACCAAAGGAACACTGTTGAAATCACGAACTAATAAGCCTAAATAGATCTTTCTTTCTAAGCATTCTCGTTAACTTAGGGTCTTATATTTGGTCATGTGGTAAATAAAACGGAGCCTATCAGCTACTTGGAGTGAATAAAAATATTAATAGTGGCGATTAAGTCACTAAAACCAATCAGTTTGAATACAAATTTTTCGATTTTATCGCTTGTTTGTGGTCATCCTTAATGAAATAATTGAAAAAATGATAGAATGCAAAAGTAGTATAAATTTGCAACAAAATAAACAAATGATCTTAACGAGAGTTAACATATAAAGAATTGCAATTCAGTCTACATTGGGAAATTTTAATCATAAATCAATTAGAATACTTTCTCCAATATATTTTACAAAAGTTTTGGACGAAACGTCATTCTCCAAATTAAAGAGAGTACAAAATTATTTGGGTAATTCAATTGGTAATGATATATGACAAAAATTATATATTTCTATAATTATGAATCATAGTAACAGCAATTAGCGATGTCTGCAACAATCAAGTATCAGTTCTTTATGTTAGTCTACTTAAAAAGTTATATCAAAAATTATCTAAATGCTACAGATTTCCCATTTCTTTTATGTTAAAAGGTTAACATGTTAAGCAATTTATAGATTTTTTCCTTTAAAAGTGTTATTTTGAAAGATTTGAAATTAACACCTAAAAGAAAAAAGTTTTTAATATTTTTTTTTAAACAAATGATTTTTTTATAAAATTTTGATAACTAATTTTCATAACTATTAACTAACAATACTTCAAACGGACACCTAGCAAAGAAGTATTACAAAAGCATTAGGTCCATAAAGATAATGTAAGAAACTTCATAAAGCTTTCATAGTCTTCCAGTAAAATAAAATTTTTTTTATATGATATTTATTAGTCAACATTACATCAAGTCAGATTTTTATCTGAACCTGTGTATTTTGATTTAAACAAATGTGTATTTTGATTTATTGATTTTGAATCAATAAATGTGGTTACTATGTGTAGTATACCCTATGTACAGGCTATAAGATTTATTCCATTGCACTTTAATTAGCCAAATAGCGGATTTATGCAATACTTGTGAATTATTATACTCAATGACATATAATTATGACTTAGATATAAGTACAACGAAAAACCCATTTTTTATATATTATCACCAATATTCAGCGCAATAGAAAGGATATTGCTAGGCTGACTGAAGTTATTACTAGCTTCTAACATTTGAGAGCAATCATTCTTCTAAAATTGCTAATTTAAACCCCCGTTCTTTGGCAAATAATTTTCGACATTCATTAAACTTAAATAAGAATTTCAAATAGCACTTCCAGTTAATAAGGTACAATTTAAATGGACATTTTTATACTTTATATTGTTTTACGAGATTGTAAAAGAAATTGCCACGTACATTATTTATATAATAAATATATTATATTTATAATATAATATAATAAATATAATATTTATATATTATATTTATATAATATATAAAAAATGTTAGAGACCTGATTTCTTACTAATTTACTCTTCAATTAGCTTTAATTTTCCAACAAAATGAAGTACAAGACTTCATAGTAAGTTTATCAACTAAAATTATTACTATTATAATAATGTGATATTATATATATTACTATTATCTACTATATGTAGTTATATATTATTTTTTGAATCCATTCTATGAAATTACAGGTTTAGTACGAGCTCGCAGAGTTAGCTGCTTTTTTTCATTCTGGAAGTACAGCTGTAAGTATTGTGTGCGAATGTAACCCATAGTATATTGATATTTCAGTGAAGTTGAAATTTTCTATATTAATATAATTTCACCAACATAAAGGTCTGATAAGGTAAAATAAAATTATCCTTATCACTTTAATTCATCTTTAAACGCTTGCAAGTACGTATTTTAATCTCAATTTCAAAGAAATTCTCTTAAGCTTACAGCAAATTAAATATTTGGAATATTTTCATATAAAAGGTATCAAAGTAATGCAGTACACATTCATTCACTGCTTATTTTATGTAGAAGGCAGTCAATATTCAGAAAAGTTGTAAAGGTAATCGTTATGTTACTCAAGTTGCTGACTATTTGTGGTATGTGCAAGTAAAATCTCACACAAAATAAAAGTAAAAAACGGGTAAGTAACTAAGTAAATTCAAAACATGAAAACGAAAAGCTAAACGAATGAAAGAAATTGCCTTTGGGCAACATTCTTCTTCAAATGCAGTTCAAAAATAATAGCAGCAGTTGCAACTTAAATACCAACAAAGGCTCTTAAATTCCAAGGTAGCAAATTCCTGGTACTCATTATTAAACGCTAAAAATAAAGATAGTGTAGTGAAATGTCAAATACTGGAAATGTCATAGCACTGTCCTTTATTATTTTTTCTATTGTCAACTATTGAGAAAGGCAAACTTATATAGTTGATATAGTCAGTAACTCTGTTGGTAAAATGATTAATATTCGTTTTTTACATACCCATTCTGACATACCACATCTATCTAGTGTGTAGTTCCATTAGTTTTCTGCATTAACACTAAAAAGATTTCAATCCAAAAGAATTTAGAAAGTAGGAAGTTTATTATCAGGAAAAAAACAAGTGGTTATATTTGCGTCATTTGCAATGGATTGAATTGAGGATTTCTATATCATCTATACGATGATGTTGCGTCTTACTATACAAGACGCTCTTGCATGCGATAAAATTGATAGATCCAGAATTTATAGCTCCATGAAACCGTAATTAATAGTACATTATGATTTACTTCGTGAAATTAATGACAATAAAGTAGAACGGATTTTGGCGAAGATGCAGATATTGCGTATATTCCTACAACTGATTTCCCTTGAGTGGATTTACGTCAACTATTATTAGTTGCTAGTATATACT